GTTTCCCGTGCCAGCGGAGGCTCCACCCAGCAGCGGGCAGTTTTACGGGGCACCACCACAACAGCAACAGCAGCCCTACGGCTATCCTCCACTATCATCGCAGCAGCCACAACAGTTCGACGCGGCTGGCTATCTTCAGCCGCAGCAGCCGCAGCCACCCTACGGCAGCGGCTACTCTCCACTCCCGCCCACAACGCAATACTATGGGCACGGAGGGCCATCTGCACTTCTGCCTCTGCCCTCTGCGCCCACACACCACCCTACACCACCGGCAACCACACCCGTCCCCTACCATCCCGCACACCAGCCGCCACCGCCCTTCGGTGGTCCACCAGCCACCTTCACTCCAGGCATGCCTCCTCCGCAACAGCCAACCCTCCCACCGCCAACGGCTCCCTACGATCCCTTTGCGCCCCTTCAGTTCCCTTCACATACCTACCAGTGATGTAGTGCAAGTTGTGAGTACAGAGATTGGTTTGTCGCGACTTCGCGTGTGTGTGTGCCGTGTTGTTTGTGTGTTCTTTCTCGCAAGATCGCTCGTGGTGTTTGTCGTCGACCTCGTTCTTCACCCAAAAAGAGAGGAAAAGGAAGAGAAGACAAAATTATATAAAAGAAGTGAAAGCTCTGCGCGAAGAGCAAAAGCGGCGATGGAGCAGCACCATGGTGGCGGGGTGCAGGGGCTGGGCAAAGCAGGCAAGCTGCTGCAACCCCACGAGCGGGCGATGGTGGAAAGTGGAGAGCTGCGCAACGTGACGCACCACGGCGCGTCGGCCATTTGGCTGGAGGCGGCTTCGAAGGCGCCCGGCCCCGGTCGCACGCTCGTCTACCGACCGATGGGCGATCTCGAGGCTCTTCATGTGGTTGCCCACAACCAGCTGCCCTCCACGCAGCCCTACCAGGCCATAATCGAGGGCGAGGCTGGGCGGACCTACGCCGAAAAGTACCTCGCCGGTAAGAAGTGGGTCGACACGGCCCCCACCACGGTCATGGAATTCGATTGCCCGGCGCAATTGATCGAAGCCCTGTTCGCCATCCAGCACAAACCCGAAGACGGTGCCATGTCGATGGGCCTGGGTCACAAGGCTGGTGGCGGTCTGCCACTCTTCAACCAGAGCCTCGCGGACGGGTCCACAACATGGCGCGTGGT